TCTATTAGCATTTTCTTATAATTTTAAAATTTGATTTTTTGTGTTTAATAATAATTCTAATGTAGTTTCTAAATATATAAATTTTACATACTAATTCTAAACTTAATATTATGAAAAATTAAAGTGTAAATAATTTCAGTCAATCCTCGTTAACCGAACCCAACACATAAAGTGGGACATAGGGAATATCTCTTATTATATATATGAAGGGTCATGTGCCATCCCTTGAGTTAATGAAGGGTCAAGTTTATTTCCTATATATAGTATCATATATTTCATTTCTAATATAGAAAGAGATGTACATATTGAAGCTATCAATAAAAGATCCCCTCCTTTTCCCCATATTTTCTCTATTGTTCTATTATTTCATAACAAAAAATATTTTTTAAAGAATTTTTGTGGTGTGGATTGCATTATTGCATATAGTGTATAAAAAAAATCAAAATGTCATTTAATTTAACGACATTTCAACAATTTTGTTGACGGGGGACTAAAAACGTTCATGTCATAATAATACTATGACCAAATGGGATGTTTTGAAAAAAGAAGAATTAAAAGTGGACTATCACCTATAAATATATGACCAAAAATGATATTAACTCTAGTAATAGTTACTATTCTCTAGTTTTTTTCTTTTTCATCTTCTTCAACTCTCATTTTTATTTTTTAACCAACCCTTTCTTGCCCCAAAAGGTTGAATCTCCAATATCAAGGTCCCACACTTCAGTTCGACAGAGTATTTGAGAGGATGTAAATCACGGTAATTCAATGGTTTAGCAGACAAGGTCAAATTGCCGGCGCGCACAAGGAATCTGCCCACTTTAACAGGGTCGGCCCAGAGGGGCGGGCAAGATGGGCACCCGCCCTGGGCCTAACGTTGGGAGGGGCCCCTAACTTTGTTTTGTTTTGTTTTGTTTTGTTTGTTTGTTTGTTTTTTGTTTTTTGTTTTTTATTGATGAATTTAAAACAAATGTGTGGATATGCAAATATTTGAATCCATGACTTTAAAATTATTTATTAATTTGAAATTTGCTTAACAATTACAACTATTTGATATATTTATCTTAGTTTTTAGATATATATTAGTGAATGTTGAATTAATTTATGATTATACTTCATATAGGGTCCTAAAGTTTTAATGAGCACTACTCCAAGGCTATTATACAATGATTTTTTAATAAAAACAATTATATGTTTACAAAATTCAAAATTATCATTTTGTTATTTTCAATTAACCCATATAATCTTTTAAGAGTTTTTATACCATAAACCCGGGTCCACCTAAGGTGGACCTTTGTCCTAAACGACGTATAAACTATGTATTTTTAGTATTAGAATTGTGAACTTCTAGAATATAAATTGTGTTTCTAAGTCAAAACGCATAACAATTGTAGAATGAAATTTGTGAATAAAATACTAGGTCATCAAATCCTAATATGTTAATATTGTGTGACGGTAGTATTTGAAAAGAACTTGTGAATACAAAATAACATAATCAATTACATATATATTAACATTGTGTATTCGTAGTATACAAATTGTAAATTTTTAAAATGTAAATTGTGATCATTTGGACTGAGGTGTAACACCCCCCGAATTTACCAACAATTTAAAACTTAATTTAAAGATTAACAGTCTAATCATCAAGCATAAGAAAAGCGGAAGCTAACATAATTCGGGAAAGTGCTACGCCACACCCATAAGACTACGGGTGCACAGGCTAAGTCTACAAATTCAACATAACATAACAACTGTCTAAGGCTCACAGGCCGAAATCTAATGCACACAGGCCGCATCTAAACAAAAGGAAGGTAAGGCTACGCTAACTAAATCCACTAGCGCGCTCTCCGATCTAATCAAAACCTGTAAAGACAAGGGATAGCACCCGGTCAGCGAATAAAGCTGGTAACCCACCAATACGCGTTAAGTATCACTAGGTATATACTTAGATATAGTCAAAACCATTTGGAACTGAGGAATACAGTATATAGCATTTGAAAACCAAGAGATGAGACAACAATCAACACATCACGCTCTCAATAAAGATCAAGACCAACAACTTCAATCAAAGAAGTAGAGACCACAAACAACAAGTGACAACCACAGCTCTAGGTGCAATCTACCATTCACAAGGTAGAGTTCATCATAGACATGCTCATAAGCAGGAAATACACAATCACATAATGACAAGACACACATTTCAAGTTCTAACCTTATGCCTTAGTACCACCCTTATGGCTACCCCCGGCCTTATCACAGTTCCAACCTGTACCTCCGAGTGCCACCCTGTACTTCCGAGTCCAACCTTTTCCCGGTCTGGAACCGTCGTCCCCCACCAATCTACACCACCAATCAATATACCACCGATCTCTCAGTACACGAGGGTACCATTAAATTCATAGTAACAAACCACCGATCTCGTGAGCAAAGCTCAAGTAACAAAACCACCAATCTCATTCATAGTCACACATAGTCATCATCATCAAGAAGATTAAGGCTCATCAATAGCCCAATCAAGTATCAACAAAAGGTACAACGATTTGTACAAGATCACACCATAAGAATCAACCAAGAGATTTCAATAAAGACATGAAGCAATACTCAACAACAATGAACCACAATCTAACACCAATATAATTGACAACATGAGTTGTCAACCCTCAACAAGAAGGAACAAACCATACATACTAGCATTCAAGTCCAAAACACCCAAAACCTCACACACAACAAAGATATGACTTGAACCCAAGAATAGCTCAAAGAAAGGCATTCAAGAACCCTAAATACAAGCTCTAAACATGCATTATCACAAGATCATGCATCAAATCACTCACAACATCAAGAATCATCAAATAAAAGCCAAGAAACATCAATAGCAAGTATAAAATAGGTTTTGTAGAGCATGGGTTACCTTTGTAGACCAAAAACCTCTTTCTTCTTACCCTCCTAAGCTTCTCATTGAAGCTCTTTCTCACCCAAGACTTCTTACACAACCAAACCACAAAGAAAACACCAAAATAAGATAAAGATACCTTAAAGCTAACTAAAGACACTAAACAACTTAAGATCTTACCCTTTCATATGCTAGGGAGATAGAAAGGTGGAATCTTTAGGTGGAAATTTGCAAGGATAGAGAACTCTTCTTCTAGCTTGGAGAGAAAGCTAAGGTTTCTTTTAGAGAGAAGGTGGAGGGTTTAAGACTTGGCTAGCAAGGGAAATGAATGAAATGTCTTGCTATGGAAAACTTGAGCATCAAAACATGTGTGAAAGGTCAATTTTACCCTTACTAAAGTTAGGAAGACAAAAGGGTTGAGGTACAAAGCATAAGGCAAAAGGTACACATGGTTGACTAATGAGACTAGTCAAATTATAGTCCCTCGACTATTAAATTTCAGGATTTAGAAAGAAATTATCAAAGGAAAGCTAGGATTAATTCCTCAATTAATCTCAATTAAGGGTTATGTTACGGGGTGAATACAAAATAACTTAATCAATTACATATATATTAACATTGTGTATTCGTAGTATACAAATTGTGAATTTTTAAAATGTAAATTGTGATCATTTGGACTGAGGTCCACCTTGCAAGGTAGACTCGAGTACACAAAATAATTTACGATCTTTTAACTTCATATATTAAGGGCCCTTGTTTTTGTTTCGCCCCGGGCCTATAAAATGATAGGACCGGCCCTGTACTTTAAGCATAATTTCACACTGCCGTTGTGAATCAAATTAATACTGTCTATTGAATTAGTGAATCAAATCTATGCGTGCGCGCTTAACGCTAGCGTGATCTGCTTATTATCAGGGCCACTAGTTAAAGTCAACTTTCACATAGATTTAAAGTAATTAAGGAATTTTATAATATAAGATGCATGGGGTCAAAGCTATATGCGGGACCTTTTTTTGAAAGTAAACTGCTGTATATATTAATCAATCAAAGCCGAAATAAAGGAGGGAGGGTTATCCTCTCACAACATCGAGTTTGCCTGCGCAGAGGCTGTCTGAGCTAACGAATGTGCTAAAATATTTAAAGAGCGAGGAATATAAATAATAGTGCAGGAAATTAAAAAAGACATCAAATCCCGACATGCTGAAACAGCTAAACCATCATAAGTGCGATCCTCCGTCGCTGAATTGCCAAGTGCGTGACATAAATTCGAACAATCTGACCGTAATTCCACGTCCGTGACTCCACGATCTCTAAGCCAGGACAGTGCCTCCCTACATGCATACGCCTCCGCCATAAAAGGTCCATGACAAAGTGGCAAGGGGCCATTTTTGGTTGCCAAAAAATTTCCATTTGCATCCTGGAGCAAGACACCGTACGCCCCCTGCTGTGTTGTGGCCGAGAAGGCTGCATCAAAGAAGCAAAGCAGCCGCGATCCGGACTGCCTAGCGTCGGCAGCTTCCTGCCGTGAGTCGGACTGCCCGATGGTGGCAGTAGCAGCGCAAGGCTGCTGCTGTCTCTCCCTTTGGTTCGTGGCCGAGTTCCAAGCCGCCATCGTAGCCATTGCTCGTTCATACACAAGTCGTGGTCTACCCACCTTATACTCCCACACCGCCGTATTCCGTTGCATCCAAATATTGTACATAATGGCCACCATGCAAGCAAATTGTTTCGCATCAATATTTTGGAGCAATAATTCAAGCCACACACCAAAGTCATCATCCACCGTACTCTGCGCAACAAATCCCGAAATATTCCACACACTTTTAGAAAATTCACATTGTACCAAAGAGTGTAAAACATTTTCAGAGTTTAGAGCACACAAAGGGCATGCTAATGGGATATCTACCCTCCTATTATATAGGTTCATGGTGGTGGGTAATACTCCTCTCACAGCTCTCCACAAGAAAACTTTCCACTTCGGGGGTACTTTGAGGTTCCAAATTTTATTCCAAGATGTGAACCCATTTTGGGGTTCGTCTATGGTTCCCATTAAATTACGATAGGCAGCTTTTACCGTATAAACCCCTTTGGGGTCCCCATGCCAATACTACATATCATCATAGGCTGGGCTAATTGGAATAGCCAAAATCTGCTCCACCTCCACCGCCGAAAATAGCTCATTAAGCAACGGTGTGTCCCAGGTAGCTGATGTTGGGTCAATTAATCCTGAAACTTTAACTTCCCCAAGATGAGCAGGCTTTTTTGATAATATTCTTGGCTCAGATCCACGCATCAACCACGGGTGTCCCCAAACTAAAGTTGAGTCTCCATTTCCAATTCTTCGTCTAACATTTCGATTAATGAGTCCCTGGGCAGCCATTATACTTCTCCATGGAAAACTTGGGTTATTCCCCACTGAGGCATTCAAAAAATCTGTATTCGGGTAATATCTTGCCTTAAAAATTCTTGCGACCAGAGAATTGGGATCTGTCAAAAATCTCCAGCCCTGCTTACCCAGCATAGCCACATTAAAAGCTCTCAAATCCTTAAAACCTAGGCCCCCATATTTCTTTGGTACACTCAACTTGTCCCAGGCTAGCCAATGTATTCCCCCTCCATCCCTTCCATTGCGCCACCAAAATCTATTCATAACACGTTCCAGGTTCTTGCATAACGAGTCAGGTAACAAAAACACACTCATAGTAAATGTTGGCATTGCCTGCGCCACTGATTTGAGTAAAATTTCTTTACCTGCCCGAGACAAAAGCTTTTTATTCCAAGAGCCTATTCTTTTCCTTACTTTATCCTCCACATAAGCAAACACTGCCCGCTTATTCCTCCCCACAAAAGCTAGCAGCCCCAAATATTTTCCAAAGTTATGTGCCTGATGAACCCCAAAAACCGTCGCCACCACATTTCTCTCCACCTGTTGAGTGTTCTTACTAAAACATATATTCGACTTATTATAATTAATAGTCTGGCCAGAAAGCTTCTCATAATCAGTAAGACATCGTTTAATTGCCTGTGCCTCACCAACATTTGCCTTAAAGAACAGGAGGCTGTCATCCGCAAACAAGAGATGTGAGAGAGCTAGGGCACCTCTCGCCACCCTTAAACCATGAACCTCTCCTCTGGCCTGGGCCTGGTGTAACAATAATGATAACCCCTCTGCACAGATAAGAAACAAGTATGGGGACAGAGGATCTCACTGACGGAGCCAGCGAGATGGGATTAATTGTCCTCCAAACACACCATTAATCATAATATTATACGAAACAGTAGTGACACATTCCATGATAAGATTCACCCATCCAACCTGGAAGCCTAACGCCAACATCATGTTCTTCAAGAATGTCCATTACATCTTATCATAGGCCTTTGCCATATCCAGCTTCAATGCTCCCCATCCCACCTTACCCAACTGTTTCCTATTCAGGAAATGTCCAACCTCGGCAGCTATCAAGATATTATCAGTAATCAACCTGCCAGGAATAAAAGCACTCTGCGATACAGAAATAATATCGCCTAACAGGGGCTTCATACGATTAGCAATTACCTTTGCAATAACCTTGTAAACAACATTACTCAAGGCAATCGGGCGTAGATCCGTGACCATCTCGGGGGACTGTGTTTTCGGGATTAGCACAATATTCGATTCATTTAACCCAGTCGGCAAAGACCCCGTATTCAGGCACTGCAACACACAACTAGTCACATCTGGACCAACTATGTCCCAAAATTTTTGATAAAATCCCGGGTTCATTCCATCCGGTCCCGGAGCTTTGTCTGGGAACATAGCAAATAACACATCTTTCACCTCTCCTGGGTCAAACGGCCGGTTCAGCCATTCATTATGGGTGTGGGTAACCCGAGTTGGGATAGAGGCAAAAAAGTCTGCTCCATTACTCACATCGGGGTTAGCAGCAAAAATATTATTAAAGTAATTCATCACAACTGCTTTCATTGCTTCACCATCTACCCAACCCCCCCAACTCATCTTTAAGGCGTAAAATAGTATTCTTTCGTTTACGGGCAGAAGCATACCTGTGATAGAAGCGAGTGTTCGCATCCGCCCCACGAAGCCAATGTTGCTTCGCCCTCTACCTCTAGAATACATCTTCTTGCTTCTCCAATCTTACTAGTTCAGACTCTAAATGGCGGAAATCTGCTAACGCCTCAGGGCTCACACGACCACGACAATTCAACTGCTGTTTCTTGAGATTAGCAATCCGTTTCCCAAACTTATGGAAACGATCACCACCCCACCTCTGCAACCTTATACCACATCTCTCTATCCGGGCCTGCAAACCTTCCACCCCACGCCTCCTCCACCACCTCCCTACAACCCTCATCCAGCAGCCAGGCCATCTCAAAACGAAACTGGCGCGACCCACCCCGGAATCCCTCTCCTGGCCGAATGTCTAGAAAGAGAGCGGAGTGATCCGATCTTCTAGTCAGAACATTATATACCCGGGCCCCTTCCACCACTCCCCGCCACTCATCAGTCGCCACCACTCTATCCAACTTCTCCTCCACCCAATCCTCTGTCCCCTCCCCCTTCTCCCATGTGAACTGATAACCAATCATGGGTATCTGTATCAGGCCGCAATCCTCCAGCGCTTCACCGAAACCCCTCAACAAAGATTCCGGATGCCTGCACCGCCCCCTTTTCTCATACTGAAATAGTAAGTCATTAAAATCTCCCAAGACTACCCAAGGTAACATAGAACGGAACCTTAAGCGTCTCAAAAGATTCCAAGACTCCTCCCTATCACCAAAATCCGGGAAACCATAAAAACCCGTCATCCTCCAGGGTGCTAGACCATCTACCCGAACTTCCACATCCACATAGTTACGAGAGTAACTTAATAGACGCACTGTATCATTCGTTCTCCAGAATAGAGCCAATCCACCGCTCCGCCCCCTATTATCCACATAGAACAACCCCTGGAACCCTAACTTCACACGTAACCGCTCAGCATGATCTCTTGCAACTTTTGTCTCCATTAAAAAGATAAAATCAGGTTTCTTTCTGGATGCCATATCCAGCACCTCTCGAACTGTACGTGGATCACCCAAGCCACGACAGTTCCAGCTCAAAGTACTCATTGGGACGGGCGGGTCTGGGAACCAGAACCCGCCATAGTCAAGTTTTTTGAGACGTTTGTCATTGCCACATCCTCCCTAACCCTCCCCCCTCCTCCCTCTCCACCCCTCGTCTCCTCTCTACGCCGTTTAGGCCCGCATGTCACCCCTTCCCCATCAACTGGCTGCCCCGTCGGAACTCCCCCAACACTCGCCCTCCCCCCCCAAACATTCGGCCTCTCCCCCCCATCCACCACCGCCACCTCCCTTCCCGAAGCACCCCGCCCAATTTCATCCTCTACCACCTCCTCCCTCCTCCCCCCCCCCCCCCCACGGGTACCAACCAAGAACTACCCACCGGTCTTGGCCCTCGTGACAACCCCGCCTTCATCTCTGCCCGATACGGATATTGATCCACAGTAAGAGTGGAATTCCTTTCCTGTAAACAGAATTTGTATGAATGGCCTAATAAACCACAGAAGAAGCAAAAAGTATGTAATCTCTCATACTTAAAATTCACCCAGCACCACGATTTATCCCGCTTAGCAAACTTCATCCTCCGACGCAGGGGTTTTGCCACCGGAATACTAACACGTATCCTGTAGAACGCTTTCCACGGTATATGCGGGACCTAGTCTGCAAAAAATGTAATAAATTTGCATACAGTTAGTTTAATGTGGGAGAATTAAATTGCTAGTTTTAAGCCTTACCTTCTTCTCCCAAAAGGTTGAATCTCCAACTCTAAGGACCCCCTCATCTCGACTCAACAGAGTATTTGGGAGGATGTAAATCACGGTGACTCAATAGTTCAGCGGACAGGACTAAATGTCAGTACGCACAAGAAATCTGTCCATTTTAAACATAATTCCCACACAACCGCTGCCGAGATTCAAACCTTGATCTCTTCACCCAAATACTGCCCACTGAACCATTAAGCCTTATCTTGTCTGGGCTATTGGAGTATTAAATTGCTAGTTTAAATTGAAACTTTAGCTTGTCCAGGCTATTGTACACATGTAGTATTAAATTTCTAGTTTTAAGCCCTAGCTTGTCCATGCTATTGGAGTATTAATTTGCTAGTTTTATTTTTGGAGACAATCTTATTTTGAGATTTAAATTGCACCCTTTCCTCTACGCCAATGAAACATTTATGCTATACAATTTAAATTTTTTAAAATTGAATTGTATGTATTAGTGTAAACTTAGATATTTTTCGAATGTTAAACGAACGCCTTCTAAAATTCGATTTTCCAAACTTTAATGGGTAATGTATACTTTCATAATCAATTTCTAATTCGTCTATTATCCATTTTGAAAATATAATATATCAAATTCTTCCTCTCAATTAAGATAATCCAAATTTTTCTTGACTCGAGCCAAATCGGAAGTGAATCTCACACGAATTAATACCTCAAATGGTTAGTTTAAATGTCAATTTTGCTTAGGGTGTTTGGAAAATAGGAAAATGACTTCTGAAAAAATTTCTAGAAAATGAGTACTTTTCCAAAAAATATTTTTTTTTTCTGGTGTTTGGTTGCACTCTAAAAAACTGTCTTGGTATGTTTGGTTCATTTCTGAAAAATGAGCAGAATTGTTTGTATAATTAAACATTTTAATTGTTTTGTATAGAATATAATAACATTTATAATAGTCATATAAATGGTGGTAGTGTGGTGGTGGTGGTGAAGGTGGTGGTAGTGGTAGTATTGTGGTGGCAGTGTGGTGGTGGTGGTGGTGGTGGTGGTGGTGGTGGTGATGTTGGTGGTAGTGGTGGTAGAATGTTGGTGATAGTAGTGTTAGTGATGGTAGTGTTTGTGGTGGTGGCGGTGCAATGTTGGTGGTGTGGTGTTACGTTGGTAGTGATGATGGTGGTGTTATATGTTATATAATAACAACAACAACAACACCAATAATAATAATAATAATAATAATAATAATAATAATAATAATAATAATAATAATAATAATAATAATAATAATAATAATAATAATAATAATAATAATAATAATAATAATAAGTGGTGGTGGTGGTGGCAACAACGGTGGTGATGGTGTTGGTGATGTGGTGATGGTAGTGGTGTTGGTGTGGAAATTGGAAAATAACTTCCCAAACAAAGTGGATAAGTCATTTTTTAATAAAATAATGATATATTTTAGTTTGACCAAATAATCACTTTCTTTTGACTCAAATTTTCTACTCTTTCACTTCACAAACATTGAAAACCTGTCCCGGTTTCTAAATACACCCTAAGTTTTTTCAACAAGTCTTTTACTTAAAAGAAAAAAAAAAAGATTTTTCGTAGGGTGTGAATCAACTAGATATGGTTACTTGAATGGTGGGATAGTTATTGCTCCAAGATAGGGGTTGTTGGATTCTTTTACTATTCACAGTAATGAAAATTGTGTATCATTTATCAAATTACATTTTTGTTCGCTCTTTGTTTCACTTCATTCTTTGCACGTGGCAATGTTAAATTATATTACCAGAGATTTTAAAAAAAAAATTACCTTTTAAACAAATTAAATGGTTGCATTTTGCCAAGCACCTTATGCTCAGATGAAATGTAATGACATCTTCTATATGGGAGGTCATGAGATTGAACCTTAGTAAAGGCATTATTAATTATTTGTGTTTCTGAGAAAATATGTTTGAATAGATACTATAATGTAATAGAGTCACTAACCATTTTAAAAAATGGTTGCATTTCAATGATTTAAATTTTATATTTTCTAAATATCATCAAACATGTTAACAATAAAGTCGTTGATAGCCTGGCATCTAGGGTTTTCCATCTCTCTCCCGGGTATCTAGGGTTTTTCGTATCTTTTGCATGTTCTTACCGTACACAATCGACTCGACTTCTCTTGATTTGTTTGCTTGAGCGCAGAATATAAACGTAAGCTGTGCTGTCTACTGGATCGACTTCATCTGGTTGGAGTTTTGTTGTTTTTTTTCGATGGCTTTTGGTTCGGCATCTACAGTTTTTTTCCCTCTTCCGTTCATGCTTCTTGATTCGTAGGCCAGTATGGATGTCCAGGATATCGTATAGAGCTGTGCGGATATCACGTTGGAGGAGGAGGAAGCGGGGGTCCGATTCGGCGAGGAGGATGGATCGGTGATAGCGGAGGGGGCGGCGGTGCAGTATTGGCAGATGGTTGGACGATTTCTTACTGATAGGAGCATTAAGTTCGATGTGATGAGGAAGGTGATGGCGTCCGTTTGGAGGCCGTTAAAGGGGATTCAAGTTGCTGAGATTCAACCGAATCTTTATTTGTTCATGTTTTATCACGATACTGATCTGGCATATGTGTTGGAGAATGGCCCATGGGCGTTTGAGAATGCTACTTTGATATGTCAACCGCTTCGTCCAGGTGAACATCCTACCCAAGTGTTGCTGAATACTATTGATTTTTGGGTACAGGTGCACGACTTGCCGGTCGGGTATCGAACGGACAAAGTGCTAGAGAAAGTCGGGGACTTTCTTGGGCTGTTTGTGGGGCTGGATGAGAGGAATTTTGTGAGGCCCTGGACGACGTTTTATAGGGTCAAGGTTACGGTGGAGGTTTCGGCTCCGCTGAAGAGACGCATGAAGATGATTTTGCGTGACAATTCTTGGACATGGGTAAATTTTCGGCATGAACGTTTACATATGTTCTGTTTCTTTTGTCGGAAGTTAGGGCATACAGATAAATTTTGTTTAGATGCCCGTATGTCTGGTTTGAAACCGGCTCAGTACCCGTTTGGTTTGAGTTTGAAGGCTGGGGGCAATCCTCCGGCGAAGGCGGTTGGGGAGAATTGGTTACAGAGAGGGGAGAGGATGCATCGTGGCTTGGGTCTCGATAAGGCGGCGGATTTACAAGTCCGTGGTGCGGGACCACAGCTGGGGCAGGTGGCTGGTGGGTTACTGTTCTCGGGTGGTGTGCGTCAAGTCAGGCCGGGAATGGGGGGTATTGGTGCCGGCATGTTAAGGTCGGCCAATGCCGTGGCTGGGGTTGCTGTTCAGGTGGGAGAGGATGAGGGTGTGCGGATGGATCCGAAGCGGAGGAGGGGGGAGAATGGTGAGGTGACGGGTGGAATGGTGGCCGGTGAGGGGGTGATGCTCGTAGACTCTTCTTGTTTGGCGGGACCTGTAGAGCAGGACCGCCCTCCTCAATGAGTATTCTAAGTTGGAACTGTCGTGGCTTGGGCAATCCACAGATAGTTCGAGAGATTATGGACCTTGTGTCCAAGAAGAAGCCTGAATTTGTATACCTGATGGAAACGATGGTGGATAGGGGCCATGTTGAGAGGCTCCGTGTAAAACTTGGTTTTGAGGGCGGTTTTGGTGTGGATAGTGTGCGGCAGAAGGGTGGCATGGGTTTTCTCTGGGCAAAGAATAATAGTGCTCGCTTAATTAAGTATTCCCACAATCATATCGATCTAGTGGTGTCCCTACCAAACCGACATCATTGGAGATTGACTTGTTACTATGGCTATGCTCAGAGTTCGAGGAGGAGGGAGGCGTGGGATTTCTTAAAATCACTTAAGGACACGTCAGGCCTACCTTGGGTGGTTTTGGGGATTTCAATGATCTGTTGTCACAATATGTGAAAAGGGGGAGACGCCCGCATCCTGCACGGTGGTTGGAGGGTTGCGGGGAAGCTTTGGAGGACTGTGGTTTGACTACTTTACCTATGTTGGGATATCCTTACACTTGGGAACAGGGTAAGGGGACTCCGGATTGGGTAGAGGAACGGCTGGCCTGGATAGGGCGGTGGCGGATGCAGCCTGGAGGGGTTTTCATGGTAATGCCCAGTTATACAACATTCAAACTGTGAGGTCGGATCATACGGCGCTCTATCTTGATGTGTATGGTTTGGGATCATCACGGCAGGCGCGTGATTTTCGATTTGAGAACGCGTGGTTAGGGGATGAAAGGTGTAGGGAAGTGGTGACGAAGGAGTGTTCAAATACGCAAGGGCTTGGTTTCCAGGAGAGGTTGTGGTTGTATGGCCGTGGTCTCAAGAAGTGGGGGGGGGGGAGAATATTTTCACAAGTTTGGTTTCAGAATTAAGGCGATAAAACGGGAGATGAATAGTTTGAGAGGCCAGATGGACCCGATTTGCTTAGGACGCTTCAGGCAACTTAATGGGCAATTGAGTACTGTTTTGTTGCAAGAGGAGTCTTTTTGGAAGCAAAGGGCCAAGCAGCACTGGCTACAAGGGGCGGATCGGAACACGAAGTTCTTTCATCAGTATGCCACGCACCGTAAACGGAAAAATTCCATTGTGAGGCTTAAGGATAGGAATGGGGTATGGAAGGAGGGTGACGGGCTTGTTTCTCTGGTGACGGATTATTACAAGCAGATTTTTCAGACAAATGGGGACATAGGTGCTTTTCAAGTGGATACCTTATCACCCCGTGTCACTCGTGCTCAGAATGATGACTTGCTTCGTCCTTTCGAGCCTGCAGAAGTGAAACATGCTTTGTTCGCCATGGGTAAAGACAAATCGCCAGGACCGGATGGAATGAATCCGGGGTTCTATCAGTCTTTCTGGGATCTCATTGGTAAGGATTTTACTGATTTTGTTCTTGCATGTTTATCTCAATCTTCCTTTCCCCCTGAATTGAATGATGCCAATATTGTTCTGATTTCGGAAAAGGCTGCCCCTGAGTTGGTTGCTGATTTGAGGCCTATTGCTTTATGCAATGTTGTGTATAAAGTAATGGCTAAGATGATAGCTAACCGTATGAAACCGCTATTGGATGACATTGTTTCAGAGTCGCAGAGTGCTTTTCTTCCAGGTAGGCTTATTTTGGATAACATTCTTATTGCATCTGAGGTGGGTCACTATCTGAGAAGGAAACAATTGGGCCGAGTGGGATAGGCAGCCCTGAAGCTAGATATGGCCAAAGCTTATGACCGAATGGAATGGAGGTTTGTGGAACGAATGTTGTTGGGGCTTGGTTTTGATGTTAAATGGGTTAATTTAATCATGCTATGTGTGCGGACAGTCAGGGATAGGGTCCTGGTCAATGGGAAACCAAGTGAGGAGATCTTGCCCACGAGGGGTCTAAGGCAGGGTGACCCACTTTCACCCTACCTTTTTATCATTTGTGCGGAGGGCTTGTCTTTATTGTTGCAGGATGCCCAGGCTAAAGGACGGATCCATGGCTGTAGAGTGGCGCGTGGGCCCCTCCCATCTCCCACCTTTTCTTTGCGGATGACAGACTACTTTTCTTCAAGGCTAACATGCAGGAAACCATGGAGGTGAAGCATTGTTTGGAAATATATGAGCAATTCTCGGGCCAATCTGTCAACTTTCATAAGTCTAACATCTCTTTCAATCGAAATACTACTTTGTTGGACAGGGATGCTATTGCCATGGGTTTAGGGGTGGAGCAGGCGGAGGATTTTGGCAAATATTTGGGTCTCCCCTCAGTTGTTGGTAGGAACAGGAAATTTGTTTTTTCCTATGTGGAGCAGAAACTGAGACAGAGGTTTGGTTCTTGGAATAAGAGGCTGCTTTCTATGGCAGGTAAAGAGGTACTTCTTAAAAGTGTTGCTCAAGCAATGCCTACGTACACTATGAGTATATTTCTGTTGCCTGTATCGCTATGTGCTTCTTTGGAAAGATTGATGAACATGTATTGGTGGGGTAAGAGTACCACGGTGGATGGGATACATTGGATGGCCTGGGATAGGATGTGTGTGCCTAAGAAACATGGTGGTATGGGTTTTAAGAGGCTGCATGAATTTAATTTGGCGCTACTAGAGAAGCAGAGGTGGCGACTTTTAACCAATCCGGAATCCTTAATGGCCCGAATTTTTAAGGCAAGATATTATCGTGATACTACCTTTTATGAGGCCTCCTTGGGAGGTAATCCGAGCTATGTATGGAGAAGCATTATGACCAGTCAGAGCCTGATTCGTAGTGGTTGCAGGCGCAGAATTGGTAATGGTAGAACAACCAAGGTTTGGGAGCACCCGTGGTTACCTGACTCCCAGAATCCGTTTGTGCTTACTGATCAAGTTACCCAACTCCCGGATCTCATGGTAGCTGACCTATAGGATCATGATCAGGGGAGATGGAACCATGAGCTGGTTTCTCAATTGTTTGATCCCAGGGATACTGGATTAATATTACAAATCCCAATGAGTATTAATTTCAAGGATGACTGGTTTTGGAAAGGGGATATCAGGGGACAATATACGGTTAAAGATGGCTATAGATACCAAGGGGAGTTGATCACCACCCCAGACGCAGTCTGGAACAACATTTGGAAGCTTAGGGTCCCTTCCAAGTGGAGGATTTTTCTTTGGAAGGCCCTTTCTAATATTTTGCCAACTATTACCAACTTGGTTAGAAGGAGAGTAGAGATTCCTAATATTTGCCCGGCTTGTGGAGATTATGAGGAGGATATTATGCATATTTTATGCACTTGTATTTATGCTAGACGTGTGTGGAATGTTTCACGCCTTCTTATCCCTAACGTTGATGGTTATGATTTTATGCAGTGGGTGGAGGCTTGGTTGGGAAGCTCAGCAATATCTGCTGGGTTTCTAAAAGAACAGATATGTGGAATACTCTACGAAATTTGGAGAGCTCGGAATATGGTTGTTTGGGATTTTGTTCTACCGACTCCCTCGCATCTATGTCACGGTTTTCACGGTACTTGGTCTGCCTGGGCATCGAACAACACGCCGGCTGCTCCCCCCATTCCGGCTGCTCCCCTCGTTCCGGCTGCCCCCTTACTGCCGACAGCACCGGAAATGGCGACGTGGCTGCCGCTGGACGCGATAATCTGCTACGCTGATGCCGGATTCCACGGCACGTCCCCGTCTTTTGGTTTTTATGTATGCAGCACAGAGGGCGGTTTTGTTGCGGCTACGAACGGACCTCTTATATGCCCGTATGATCCTCTCCTAGTTGAAGCCATGGCAGTACGAGAAGCTCTATCATGGCTACAAGAACACAATTTTCACAACGTTGTGATTTTTTCGGACTGTGCGGTCCTTGTTTCTTGCTTTCGCAATGCGAGTTCCTATCGTTCGTACCTAGGTGTTATCTTAGATTCATGTTTGCATTTATTTCGCTCTTTTCATTCATGCTCCATTAAATTTGTACACAGAGATGCCAATACGGTAGCTCATGCCTTAGCAAAGCATGGTAGTGCGGTTGACACTCGTACTGTCTGGAGGGATTTTCCTCCTTCCTTTGTTTCGTCTTCAGTTTAATGCAATCTGATTTCCTTGGCTTTCAAAAAAAAAAAAAAAAGTCGTTGATAGCAAACACGTTTTTAAAATTACTTTTTTAAGAATTTAATTCGTTATACCGCGCATCAGGGCGCACATAGCAATGTGCGCTTCGCGCCTCCCAAAACGACGTTGTTTTGTTAAGTTGTGTGGAGAATTAACGCGACGAAAATGTAAGTGTGTTCAGTTATAAAATTCTGTGTTTTCAGGTATAAAATTCTGTGCTTTTAGGTATAAAATTCTGTACATTCGAAACAGGGGATTTTTATCTTTTTAAAAAAGATTATGTGTTTTCAAGTATAAAATTCTGTGTTTTCATGTATAAAATTCTGTGTTTTCTATTATATAATTCTGTACATTCGAAACATGGGAATTTTCAGTTATAAAATTCTATGTTTTTAGGTATAAAATTACGTGTTTTCTATTATATAATTCTGTACATTCGAAACATGAGGATTTTCAATTATAAAAATTTTGTGTTTTCAGGTATAAAATTCTGTGTTTTCAGTTATAAAATCATGTGTTTTCTATTATACAATTCTGTACATTCGAAACATGAAATTTTTTTTTAAGGAATTAACAGCAGACACACGAAAAAGGTACAAAACGACGTCGTTTTAGGCCAGGACGCACAATGCATTGTGCACGGTATAATTTGTCATTTACTACTCTTATCCAGTTATCCCAATGATATGTTGAATCCCCAACCCTAAGGGCCCTCACACACTCCGACCCAACAGAGCATGTGGGAGGATGTAAATCACGGTGACTCAAACTTTGAACATAATTCCCAATGGGTTAGTAGACAAGGCCAAATGCCCTCAGTGCGCACAAGGAATCTGTCCACTTTAAACATAATTCCCACACTGTCACACACTCCGACCATTGAGCTAAGCTCGTGCAGATACCATTTACTACTCTAATAGACAAGTCATCATCATTAGGCTCAAAACATAGAATGGGCTTTAGAGAACTTTAAATATGAGAACTTCTCGCTCCGCCACTAGATTAAAGTTGAAATTCTAATCCCAATAAAAATTAGGCCCTGCCTGTTTGAGAAGACTAGATGCAACAATGTGAGTTGCATTAATGGAAGAGGGGTGATTAGAGTAGTGGTGGGTATTTCTTGAAGAATAAGAATTAAAACAACAGGACAGTAAAGTAATGTCTAAACTGAAATCATTGGAGTTCAAGAACAACTTTTGATTTTCCAATCCTATCGTGTTACCCACTATATTATGTTACAATTGCCAATCACTCTTCACCTAGCTTAGCTACCAGTTAAACTGTTGAATTAAATAAAGCAGTTTGACCTAGCGTTATTCACATGTTAAATCATATTAATAGTATTCTTTTGTGGGGGTGGTTTAAAATAAAAAATAAAAAATTACCGCTGGTTTGTAGTTTGTATAGTAGAAATTTAAATTCATTTTCTCAATATATAACTTTATTTAAAACTTTGATATATATATAAATATATATATATATATATATATATATATATATATATATATATATATATATAAAAGGAATCTTCGCTAGAATTTATAACTATATACACACACATATCATAGGTGATTCTAGTTTCGTTAAACTAATCTTAAATCAGTTATATAAATCATTTGCTATCCTAATTTATTTGTATGGAAGATATAATTTCTGTGTAGATATATATATATATATATATATATATATATATATAAATTTTGTCATCCTCGCATAAAAAGAAAACATAATATCACTGGCTGGAACTACACATTATTGAAAACCTCTTTGTAGACGATATTGGTAGTAACAACAGAATCTTGTTCATCATCGTCTAGAGCTAACACCTTCAAGCCATCAGAATGGGTGATTCGAGAAAAGCCACATACAATTGACCATTGCCCATTGCATTACTATATATTTTGTCTGAGAAATCAATGAGCTCGGATTCATACGTATCCCATATAATACATATATTATAGTTAATCCGTTTTCTTTTTGAAATAGTTAATCGAGGTCATTTAGAATTTTGAGTCAAATAGTAATATTCATTTCCTTTTTCAATTGGCCTAATTTATGTGTCATTTTTAATCATAGTCAATTATTTTTTAATACATATCAATTAGTTAATTATTAATAATAGATTTTTTAATATTTTCAGTCAATTATTAATAATAGATTATTTTTCTAATTTACCTATACTATTGTTGATCTGTTTCCTTTTTGAAATAGTTAATCGGGATTATTTTTAATTTTCAGTAAATTATTAATATTCATTTCCTTTTTTAATTACCATATAATTAACATAGTCATGCAATAACGTAGTAACAATCTTCTCTGTGCAAAGTATTCTCAAAATAGTTTGCCCATTGCATGACTATTTCCTCTGAAAATCAATGAGTTCAGATCCATATGTATCCCATATAATACCTATGTTATAGTTAATCTGTTTCTGTTCAAAATAGTTAATTGGGAATCATTTTTAATTTCCAGTCAATTATTAATATTCATTTCCTTTTTCAATTGGCATAATTTTAGTGTCATTTTTTATTTCAGTCAATTATTATTTTGTTACTACATTTCAATTAATTAATTAATAATAATAGATTAATTTTTTAATATTTTCAATCAATTATTAATAACAGATTCATTTTCCAATTTATCTATACTATTGTTTGGGCGATCTGGCCATTTTCTTTTTCATTTGAATCAATTTGTGATCATTTTTAATTTTTAATCAAGTATTAATATTCATTTTCTTTTTCAATTGGCCTAATTTTCGTGCCATTTTTATTCTCAGTCAATTGTTCTTTTTTAATACATATTAATTAGTTAATTATTAATAACACATTTATTTTTAATATTTTCAATCAATTATTAATAACAGATACTTTTTCCAATTTACCTATACTGTAGTTAATTCGTTTTTTTTTTTTTCGAAATAGTTAATATGGAGATTTTTTTTAATTTTCAAATAATTATTAATATTTATTTCCTTTTTCAATTTGCCTAATTTCCGTGTCATTTATATTCTCAGTTAATTATTTTTGGCAATACATATCAATTAGTTAATTATTAATTACATATTCTTTTCTTAATATTTTCAGTCAAATATTAACAATAGATTCCTTTTCCAATTTACATATACTATTGTTTGGACGGTCTGCCATTTCCTTTTTCATTTTGATTAATTTGGAATCATTTTTAACTTCAGTCAATTATTAATATTCACTTCATCTTTCAATTGACCTAATTTCCGTGTAATTTTTATTCTCAGTCAATTATTCTTTTTAAATACATATCAATTAGTCAATTAGTTAATTATTAATAACAGATTTTTTAAATATTTCCAGGAAATTATTAATAACAAAATATTTTACCAAATGTAAACAATACTGCACCCCATCAAAGCAATCATCATCTTCTTTATATTAAAAAAAAAAATATTAAAATGAGGCTCAATGGGATTCTAATATATTACTTACTGTACACTATATACTAATATGAATATTAATTAATTAGTAAAAAATTAATAAATCTAGATTGGTAATACAATTTTATATGAAAATTAACTAATATCTAATGAATTGAAAAAAGAATTTCGTTGGAATTTTCTATTTCCCCGTTTTAAATACATATTAATATATTACAAAATTTTATGTGAAAAATTTCAACTCAGCTCTAATATGTTAGTTAATTTTCATATAAACTTTTAGTCCATATATACTATTAATTTTGTAATACAAATGGGATTCTAATATATTACTTACCGTTTATAAAACTTGTTGTAATAGTCATTTGTTGTACTAATAATCCATTAGATATTAACTAATTTGTCTCAAATCACATCATTTTTCCGTCATAAATAATTAATCTATAATTGTAATAATAAAATTGCCGATTAAATTTGCAGTTAAATATGAATAGGATTGAAATTTAAAAAAAAAAAAGATAAAATAAAAACAAATAAGTACTGAATCTTGTTGAGTCATTAATGTGCAATCCAACTATCAGCTTAGGCTTTTAGTTGAGATGGAGCACATTCTTCATTTTGGTATCAGCACCAGACCAAAGGTCACCCATAAGCGACTATGGTCCACGTGTTGCTTGGAACCCACCGCACACGTGAGGGGGCGTGTTGAGTCATTAATGTGCAATCCAACTATCAGCTTAGGCTTTTAGTTGAGATGTGGTTATAATGAAAGAAAACTATATATTTTTTATTTTTATTTACTTGACAGATCCGTCATTTTAACATTTTGACCAGAGATAAAATGCTAAAAAATTTGTTTGGTTCTTCAGCGGTTTGGAGCAACGATTTGTTCCAAACTGCTAAAAACTGAAGTGCTACATTTTTTGCAGCATTTCAATTTGGCGTTTTGGAAAAAAATAACCTTTTCCTAAAACACCCTTGAATTATATTTAATTTAAAAAAAAAAAAAAAGAACTTATAACTGAAGCCATTAAAGGTTCCTTAAAATGAATGTGTCTTTTAAGCTATCAATGTTTGCCCAGTAGTGATGGGCAAGCAAATCGTTTCATAAGTCATTAAGGGAGAAATGCTCCTCTTATATAGAGGAGCTCTTTGAGCTCATCTTCATTCAGTAACGATATTGGATCAAAGTTGATTCCGCATCAGTTATGACATCTTATATATATATATATATATATATATATATATATATATATATATATATATATATATATATATATATATATATAGGGTTGAGTTCAAATGAGGACAACAATATATAGAGGACTGTGAGGACAAATTATGGGCACACAACAAATTAATACCAGGCACACAACTTAATACATAATGGCACACAAAAATAAATGTAAACATCAGGTTTCGAACCCAGGCTCTATAAATTAACAAATCTAGCACGCGTCATACAAACTGTGGCACACGACTACATTCGGTCATGCACACGACATATCGGCTAATGGCACACACTACATTTGTCCTCACAATCCTCTATAATATACTTGTCCTC